TGTGTGTGTGTGTGTGTGTGTGTGTGTGTGTGTGTGTGTGTGTGTGTGTGTATGTACATGTATATATGTATCTATGTATGTATCTTGGGATTTTTCTACTTAGTTTTTTCCACATTCCCCAGTCCTTACTTCAGTGTTAATATTCAGCCCTTGCCTGCTTTCTGTTCCTATGGAAAAGACAGGAACTTTTTCTCTTCTGCTTCAGATACAATAATGCATAAATCAATTGAGGAATATGTAGCTCTAGCATTTCTGAGGCAAACTTTAAAACAGAAATTGAGTTCAGATGATGGTAGATAGGGATAGACTGACTATGTATTAAGGAGCCAGGACCTGTGCTGCTTTTTTGTTTTCACTGGAAAATTTTTTTAAACCTCAAAAACAGGAGTAATACCAGCATCTGCATCAGATTTCCTAGAGTTATATGGAAAATGGAGACAAAATGTATCTCCATATATAAACATGGCTGTTTCAAACACTAGTTCCCAGGACTTCGCACAGAATGGCCTTCTCTCTCTCACAGTTGATTATTCAACTTTTGTTCAACACCAGCTGTGCTGGGTGATAGGTGTACCATAATGAATAACATAGTTCTTGTGATGCTAGAGAGTTTGGCTTTTAATTCTATGGATAATATGGAGCTATTAAAGGTTTGTATGTAGTGTGTGTGGTCAGAACTGAGTTTTAGAAAGATAACTGGTGGTAATGTGGGCCTAATATTGGAAGGAAGATAAATTATTGACAGCTGAGGTATCCAGATGTTAAGGTGATTAGGCTTGAGCTAAAATGCTGACAGTGTAAGGTAGAGAATAGGAGATATATTTGGGATAGAAACCATGATTTTTGCATGTTAAATAAGTAAGAGCCTCTGCTACTAAACTCACATCTACAGTTGTCCTGATAATGAATAAAATAGGCTACATAATATAACCTTAAATACAAACTAAAAATAACAAATCTAAAATATAAGCTGTGTTTGTAGTAAAAATTTCTTCATCAAGCTGTCAAGAGCAAAATTGGAGCCTCTGGGTTCATGAAATACATGGAGGTTTGGGAGAATTGTACAATTAAAGAGAGCCTGGAAGCCCTACCCTTACCCCATACCTTGTTCTATGCATCTCTTCAATTTGGCCGTTCCTAAGTTACATCCTTTTATAATAAGTCATCTAGTTTTTAAAACGTTACTTGCATTTCTTGTATTGAGGGCCTACTGTGTGTTGTTACATATGCAGATTTTAAATAAAGCTGTTTATCAGTGTAAACTAAGTAGTTTATCAGTGACATAACCCAAAGTAGTTGGTGGATGAGAAAAGAAATAAATATTAGTAATATTAAATTAATAATCTCTAAATTGTGTAGTCATTCCTAAATAAACAGATACTAGCTTTATATTTATTCCAGTAACTCTTTACTTATTAGGATTTTAAACATTAGGATTATTGCCATTTGTTTTCATTTATAACATCTTGATTGTGCTCTAAACTAGCTTTATAAATTAACTATTTTAATAAAATGAAGTTATTTATTTCTCTTAACAAAAGAAAACTGGATTAAACTCCTGTTCTAGCTTTGCTATTCTTGAATTTTCTCCACCCTTTTACTCTTCTGCCTGGGTGGCTATTGATTCTTTCATTCTGGTCATACTCTACTACTGTCTGGCTAGAATCGTAGGAACAGGCAATGTATGTAAAGACAATTTTGGGTCAGCAGAGTAGAAGTTCCGTAGTTCTGCTTTGAGTGGGGTGGGGAGCCAAGGAATTGAAACATTTGTCTTGTTTGAATCTAAGTATCATAACCATGTGAACTTTTAAAATTTTTTTCTTAGCATGTTGAGGTGACCGAAATGGGAACATGGTTACTGTGAGAACAAGTTGTGTGATGGGATAGTTTTAAAAAGCTTCACTGTCACCTACTCTTGCTCTGGTCAAATTGCTGAAATCTCTAACCTATATTTTTATAATACACATGATATTTAGTATTTTTTAGAATTAGTAAGCTTCAGATTCCTGAATGGGAAGCAGTAATATTTTTACTTTTATTAATTGCTCATTTTTCATAGCCATGCTAATTTTTCTTGTTTCCCTTATTTTTTTTTCTTGTTTCCTTCAAATTGTCAAAATTCTTTCCTCATAAATTTCTTATATTTAGGTCAGTTTTTGTTTCATTTCAGGGTAGTGCTTGCACATTCCCAAAATCTTTCTGACAAAGACAAATTTAGAAAATAACACTTTATTAAATTAATTGTCCTTTTAAAGTTTTTCTACAAACACAAAGTGATGAGATGCACGTTTAAAATTCACTCCATGCTTATCTCTGTTCTTTAATAGCCTATTTGTTTCATTGAGCAAGTATTTAACTGAATTCCTAGTATGTGCTGATGATTATGCTGGGCACTAGGGATACGATAGGATATAAAATAGATGTGGTCTCTGTTCTCATTAGAATGATACTTACTAGGAAGAAGGAGCTGGAGATCTACAAGGTACCATGACATTAAGTATAGCAATACATCTTTCCCTGGTTCAGGGGATTTAGGGAATTTAGAAATGAATGCTTCAGATGAGACCTGGACAGTGAGTACAAGTAGGTTCAAAAAAGTGGAACCATAATTTTTGTTTATGTTATATGCTTTTTCATGTTTATTAATATATTCATGTTTTAACTATGAAGAGTAATGAAAAGTTAATACGGTTTTTTACATTTATTTTTATACAGGCAACAAGAATGGGTGAATCAGCAAAGGGAAGATATTGAAAGGCAAAGGAAACTTCTAGCCAAACGCAAACCTCCCACAGCTAATAATTCTCAGGCACCCTCTACCAATTCTGAACCAAAACAAAGGAAAAACAAAGCAGTCAATGGAGCAGAGAATGATCCCTTTGTTAGACCCAATTTACCACAACTGTAAGCCTCCATTTTAATTTGCCTTTTTTTTAATCCTTGCCAGTGAGCATGAATGTTAGATATTACTTATATTTACATGAATACTTAAATATTAAAAATACTTTGGGCCAGGAGGGAAGGCAATATTAAAATTTACTTCTAAATAATCTCCAAATACCTGAATTCAGCCTTTGTAAGTGGTGACTTATTAATCCTCTTTTAAAATGAAGATTTAGCAGCTAAGAGGAAACTGGAATCCACTCTTTTTTCATGTCTGAATGATAGTTATTAGTTTTTATTATCTCAATTCTGTGTTTCCATTAATGTTCTTTTTTCTGAGAGAATATTAAATAATATAACTGATATATATTTTCTTAACCTCTGAAAGCAGTACATTGGTAGGTTCTAGGTATTGTTTTTTCCCTTTCTGCTTTTATTTATTTTCTAAATTTTCTGCATTAATGATGAACTACTCTTTATAGTTCAATGGACAAAGAGATTTTTAAATAATTAAATGCTTATTATACCTAGAAAGTTGGGAAAGTGTGAAAGAACATAATAAAACAATATAGACCATGATCCCATCCATAGAGAAGACCATTGTTAAAATTTTGATTTACAGATGTGTCCAAACATATAATTTTTTTGTTCTGCAAGAACTTAAGTTTTTGTGAGTAGAAAATACATACAAACACGCACACACACGCACACTGTTTGATATTTTTATGTGGATATATTCTTTTTATCCTTTGTTGAAAGGTAATGTTTCATCTGTGCTTTGATTCCCATACTGTGCTACATGAGGGACTCTTCTATAGATACGTCCTTTATCTTCTGTCGTCAGCTTTTTGTTCTCTACTGGTTCTCCTTTTAGAAAACAAAATGAAACCAAAAACTCTGCTTCAATTGTATATCCCTAATTCTTGCCTCCATTTCCTGTCATCTTTATAATCAGGTTTTCTTGAAAGACTTGTTTGTACCAGTCTCTTCTGTCTTACCTTCCATTTTCTTCTTTCTTAAATGAAATTGCCTTTTAAGGATTAACTGTCTTTTGATGCTCAGTGCCATAGACATTTGAGTCTTTAACTTGGCAACATTGAATATTGACTTATTTTTTCCCAAAAGACTCTCTTGTCTTTAGTTTTTCAAATACCTTGATCTCCTAATTTTCATTTTAACTCCTCTGGCTCATCTTCTCAGTCTTTTCCGTGGACATCATTTATACTACCAATTTGTAAAATGTAAGTATCCTTTAAAGATCTGTCTTGGTCATCTTACTTCCTACTCTACATATTCTCCTTGAAAATTTGCTACTCAGAGTTTCAGTTATCACATATATGCTTCTGACATCCAAGTTTCTGTCTCCAGTCCACTTTTCTCTCTTGAGTATTAAATATATCTCAATTTTGAATGTCATATCCTTTCTTGGTGGTTATCAGTACTTCTAATGTAGCCTTTTCAAAACTGTATTTACTAAAATTACAGAACAAAACAAAAATTATTTAATATTACCATTCCCATTCCAATCTGTCTCTCCACACACACACACACACACACACACACTTATGCACACCCCTTGCCTTTTCCTGTGTTTTCTCTGTTAGTAAATGGTACTACCATCCTCTCAGTTCCACATGCCAGATTTTTATTATCATCCTTAATGTTTTAGATCAAGATTTCATTTATATTCCTTAATCCATTTTTATTATTTTCCATTAATAAGTAGGTGGTTGTTTGCTTATTTTTCCAAATCCACCTCAAAATCTATTTCCATCTTCAAACCTTTTCTAATCTTGGTGGGCTTTTTAAATTGGAATTAATTCAGCTATTGAAATTTTAAGAAAAACTAGCAAATGGTTTACTTTTTGTAAATTAATAAATTTGTTGCTTAATAAAGGGTAGATGGGTAGATGAGTGGTTATATAGAATACAGTGTGTATTAGCTTTAACTCCACTCCTACAAGACACCAATCCTTCTAGTTCTCAAGTGTATCCACTTACGTAAGACCCCAGTGACACCATTCTCACTCAAGTTACTGTCCTCTCTTAGTTGGGTTATTTTTTTTTTCCCTACCTCTCCTTTCAGCTTTGGTTTAGCAGTCTAGTTTATTTTCATTTTGCAATCAGAATCATTTTTGCAAAATATGATCCTTTTGTTCTCTTCCTTATCACCCTAACATAGCTGTTTTTTGAATCATAGAATCCGAAAATCCTAAGATGACTTCTTTTAAAGCACTTTTTATCTGGCATCTTGTGGCCACTCTAGCCTCTTCTTTTGTCACTAACCAGTGCCTTCCCTTCACTGCCAACTTTCAAACTCCAACCCATGGTTTTTAATTCCTATTCATCTTTTAAATCCCATACTAGGTATTTCCTCCTAAAAGTTTTTCCTTGATCCCTGAAGGACAGGAGTTAATTATCACTTTAAGGTAATGTGATAATGCCCTTTGTCTCTTCAGTCACAGCATCACCATTTACTCTGTTAATGACACTATAAACATCCTAGATGTTTCGCTTTCCCTCGTTCTCTGTCTCTGTAGCATCTCGTATTTGTCCATCTTCATTGCTACTATGTTAGTATAGGACCTCATCTCTTTTTTTAACCTAGATTACTGTTTCTTATGTGTCTCTTCATGTCAGTTTCACATTTAACCTCAAGATAAAATTCACCCTCATGAAGTACTCTTTGTAGGCCTTATTTTTCTCTTTCATTTCACTCCCAACATCTGTCCTGTATCTTATGTTAAACTCTTAGTTCTCTAAGTGGATTAGGCGTTCTTGTTTCTGTGCCTTTATACATCTTGTTCCTTGCCTTTCTTCACCTTCTCACTGCCTGTTCATCTTTTAAGGCTTGGTTCAAATACCAGTTTCAGTAGGAAGCCCTCTCTAACTTTTTTTCTTCCCATTTCTCCCCCATTTCCCCTCAGGTTAGGTGCCCATAGCCTTTTGTACGTGCCTGTTCTGTATGTAGCTTTTATCTCTATATTCCCAATATGTAGCACAGTTTTCTGACATGGAAAGTGGTCAGTAAATGCTAAATTCTGGTACATAAGCATTTGATTGAATTTTATTTTCTCCTTATTAGTTTCTCCTTCATTTTTCTAGTTTGTCACAGGTATTTTGCTTACTTATATTCCAGGATGCTTTAACAGCCCTAACTAGTTTAATAGTCATAGACTTGTCTTATTTCACCCCACTTTATTATATATGTTGACTGAGAACTATCCCTAAACTTAAACTGCTATACGTTCTTGGAGCAGCAAATGAAGTGATACTACATAAAAAAGTTTGACTGTATTTTTATACGAATGCAGATTTAAATAGGGAAAAAAGCCATAGAAGCACTTTTCAAAAAAAATTTATTTATTTATTAGAGGGAGCATGCATGAGAGCAGGGCAAAGGAGGGGCAGAGGGAGAGGAGAGAGAAAATCCACTGCGGGAGTCTCGATCGATGGGGGGATCGATCCCAGGACCCTGAGAACATGACCTGAGCTGAAATCAAGAGTTGGACGTTCAACTGACTGAGCCACCCAGGCACCCCAGAAGCACTTTGATTTATATGTCTTATATTTTAGTGGCTATTCTCTGCAACTGTCTTCTAAAAATTCCTTTTGAATCACTGTTTGGTGGTAACTAGAACATCTATTGTATGTGCAGAGCATCTAGTATAATTAGAATAGAAACCATAAATCTTTAATTTTTTTCTATCAAGAAATTAACATAGAAAATGAAGTTACTACTATGTAGTGGTTAGGACTTTAAGTGTTGTAGACAGACAGATGTGGAATCCATCCTTGACTATTTCAGGTTGTTGTTTTACTTTTGAGCCTCCATTTCCTCACTTGTCAAAGGACATATATCGTAGTGTTGAAAAGATGATATGAGGTAATGCATGTTAAAGTGCTTGCGTGGTTCCTGGCTCTTAACTAATTTTTAACTACCAGCAAGATTCGGTCAGGTTTTTTAGGTAGTAGTTTCTAATTTTAGTCACATATACTTCTTTTATTCAGAGTAATTTGCATAGATAATATTACCTATGGATGTCTAAATGACCCTTGTGTTAATTGTAATTAATTTTAATCAAGATTTTGACCTCATGTTAAATATATTTTAGATCATGTTTTGATTTTATGTATTTCATGTTTCACAGAGGATGCTTGCAAAGTAAACAGTAATATTTTACCTTCTATTTTGTATTAAAGAAGTTTTAGAGGTCACTGTGTTTTTTCATTAAAGCTTTAATTTTAACTCAGGATTATATTTTACATACCGTAAAGTTATTTAGTGGATTACTTGTCTTGTAAATAATATAATAGACTTTTTTAATTAATAAAATTTATTTTTAGAGCCGTTTTAGTGTATAGCAAAATTGAGCAGAAAGTACAGAGAGTTCACGTACACTTCCTGTCCCCACACACAACCTCTACCACTATCAGTATGCCCAGAGTGGTATATTTGTTACAATTGATGAATGTGCATTGGCACATCATTATCACCCAGAGTTTATAGTGCACATTAAAATTCACCTTTGATGTCGTATACATTTTATGGATTTTGACGTTTAATTGATTTTTAAAAAAAGTCATGTCTGAAAAATCTTTCATTGGAGCATTTAATCTATTTTCATTTCATGTATTTATTTATTGGGGCTTAAATCTGGTCTTTCTTTATGTTGTTGATTTATCCTGCCTCATCTCTGTCCCTTTTTCTTCTTTATTAGGTTGCTCAGTTTTTGTTTATTAGATTCTCTCTTTCTCTGTCAGACACACCCCTATGTAAAGACATCTTTAGTATAGTCTGTGTTCATCTAAATGTTACTTAACGTATTTACTATTTTTTTGCTCTTCATTTATTCTTACAGCTTTGATTTTTTTTACATAGTAAGATCTTTCTGCCCAAGAAAACCCTTTAGAAATTTTTTTCTTTTTAGTGTCGGTCTATTGGTAGTGACACCTTTCAGTTTTTTCTTGGTATGAAACTAAGTTTATTTTGCCTTCATTCTCAAAATGGTTTTTACTGG